AAAGAACTATTTGCTTTAAGCGCAACTGTTGTTGCTGACTCTGGTAAGACAATTATTTAATTGCATCTTCTAACACTTAGCAGGATTCCTTGTTCAGAAGGTTACTTGAAAGCAAGTGTTGTTCAGAAGTTTATTTGAAAGCAAGCGTTGATCAAGTTCTTAGCAAGTAAAACACTGTTTAGAAGAAAAGCAAGCATGTTCTGAATTCAAGACGTTGAAGCAAGTTCTGAAAGAATGCAAAAGCCAACTTGTCTTTTCAAGCTTCATGAAACATGTTCTTACAAGTGTCGTTTTCTCATTTAATGCAAAGACGGTTGTATGCACTCAAGTGTCTATGCTAGTTCTTGGAAAATGGAATAGTACAAGGAAACACGCAAGCATTTAATGCTCTCCACTTTTTGAAGGCAACAACGGTCTTTTTGTTATTACTATATATAGAAGGACATTTATTGCAAGCCAACCAACCAATCAATTTCAAAAAAAAGAAGCAAGAAACTACGTGAAAAATTCTGGGCTCACAAACTCTTTGTTCATACACTTTGTGCAATTTATTCTAAGTGAAAAATCACAGTTGTGATATAGCTTGATTAGAAGCAAATTTTATTTCACTATCTGTAAAGATTAAACTCTTGTAATTGTTCCTTGAGAGACCAAGTTTGGTTAGATTTCTCAAGTAGACTAGGACTCGATTTAAGTCTTAGTGGTGTTAGTCACTTGTAAGGTTACTTGTGCATTGTTAGTCACAACAATTGTTGTGTATTTGTAATCAGTTGATTATAGTGGATTAAGTCCTTGTTGAGAAAGGCGAAATCACCTTGACGAATGGACTGGAGTAGTTTGAGTTCACACGAACCAGGATAAAAATAACCTTGTCTTTCCATTATTGTTGAGCTTTGTTTTGAAAAGAAAAAGAGTCACTTATTCAACCCCCCCCCCCCCCTTCTAAGTGTTTTCTTACCCCTTCAATTGGTATCAAAGCTTGACTCTGAGCACAACACTTAACCGTATCAGGAAAAGATCCAGAAGAAAACACAATGGTCGTTGAACAAAACAGCAATAGTTACAACAAACCTCCTGTATTTGATGGAGAAGATTTTGAGTACTGGAAAGATAGACTAGAAATTTTCTTTCTAGGTCATGATAGTGATCTATGGGATATAGTTTTGGATGGTTACACACATCCTACAGACTCAGAAGGAAACAAAGTTGATAGAAAAAATATGGATAGACAACAAAAAGCTGATTTTAAAAATCATCATAGAGCTAGAAATATTTTTCTAAATGTCATCTCTAAAGTAGAATATGAAAAAAAAATCACAAATAGAGATACATCACATGATATGTTTGAGTCTCTTAAAATGACTCATGAAGGAAACACTCAAGTAAAGGAGTCTAAAGCTCTGGCTTTAGTTCAGAAGTATGAAGCCTTAAAAGTTAAAGAAAGTGAGTCTATAGAAGGAATGTTCTCTAGGTTTCAAACTCTGATCGCTGGTCTGAGAGTGTTAAACAAGGGATATACTAAAGTAGTTCATGTTAAAAAGATCATCCGAAGCTTACCCAGAAGATGGGCACCAATGGTCACTGCTTTCAAAGTTTCAAAAGATCTGAACAATGTGTCTCTGGAGGAACTCATCAGCGCTCTCAGAAGCCATGAGATAGAACTTGATGAGCACGAGCCTCAGAAGAAAGGTAAGTCTCTTGCCCTTAAATCAATTAAGAAATATGATACTAACGCTTTTCAGGTTGGAGAGGAAAACTCTGAAGAATCAGCGTCAGAAGAAGACGAACTATCCTTGCTCTCCAGAAGGATCAATCATTTGTGGAAGCACAGACAGAAGAAGTTCAGGAACTTCAAGAAGTCAGAAGATAAACCAGAATCTTCTGGACACAAAAAGTCAAACAGAAGAGAGATCATCTGTTATGAATGCAAAGAACCTGGTCACTACAAAAGTGATTGTCCAAAACTTCAAAAAGAAAAACCAAAGAAAAGGTTTGGTAAAAAGAAAGGGATGATGGCAACCTGGGATGACTCAGAATCCTCTGAAGATGAATCTGGTTCTGAAGACGAGAATGCCAACCTAGCTCTGATGGCTACCACAGCAGATGACTCAGACTGTGAGTCAGAACCAAGAGAGGTATTTTCTAAATTCACTAGAAATGAACTTGCTGATAGTTTATTAGAACTTCTGGAAAACTATAGTCAGCTCAAAATCAAATACAAGAAACTCAAGAAGAAACACTGAAGTAGATTCTGAAGGAAAAGTCATTCAGTGTGCAATGTTAGTAGATTCTGAATCAATGGATATTGAAGAAGCTCTCAAGAAGAAAGTGTGGATGAATATCATGAAATAAGAACTTGAGGCTATAGAAAGAAACAATACTTGGGAGTTTATTAAGCTTCCAAAGGAGAAGAAATCTATCAGGGTCATATGGGTTTTCAAGGTAAAATTTAAGCCAGATGGATCAATTGGCAAGCACAAACCAAGGCTAGTGACTAGAGGTTTTCTTCAGAAACCCGGGCTAGATTACTTTGAGGTGTTTGCGCCTGTACCTAAACATGAAACAATCATACTGGTGATTGCTATAGCTGCAAATAGGAATTGGCCTCTGATGCATCTAGATGTGAAATCTGCATTTTTGAATGGTTCGTTACAAGAAGAGGTATACATGTCATAACCTTCTGGATTTATGAAAAAGAAATAGGAAGTAATGGTGTACAAGTTACATAAAGCCTTGTATGGATTGATGCAAGCGCGTAGAGCTTGTAACTTAAAGATTGATTCATTTTTTAAGTAAGGGTTTCAAAAATGTGAGATGGAATATGGTGTTTATGTGCAGTGTTCTAGAGGCAATATGATTCTGGTGTGTCTCTATGTTGATGACATATTGTTAACATGTAGTTATCCAAAAGAGGTAGTCAAGTTCAAGAAGGTGATGATAAATGACTTTAAGATGACTGGCCTAGGAAAGCTGGTATACTTTCTAGGGATGGAGATATTGTACTCTGAGAAGGGTGTAATTTTGCATCAGCTGAAGTATGAACTTGAGCTTCTGAAGAGATTTAAGCTGCAAAATTGTAAGGTTATTGTCACACCTTCAGAAACCAATCATAAATTGGATTATGATCTTGAGGGTGACGATGTGGATGCTACAACCTTCAAACAATTGGTTGGTTCTTTAAGATATATGTGTAATACCAAACCTGGTATTTGCTATACAGTTGGAATGGTCAGTAGGTTCATGAGTAAACCTAAGTGGTCCTATTATCGAGCTACTGTCAGGATTTTGAGGTATATCAAGAGAACTCTGAAGTATGGAGTATTATTTCCTTTTTGGAAGAAAGACTAATTCAGAACTGATAATTTACTCAGACTCTGATTGGTGTGGAGATAGAGTTGAGAGGAGAAGTACTTATAGATACTTTTTAAGTTTCTGGGAGGCCCTATGTCTTGGTGTTCTAAGAAGAAACATGTTGTTGCACTGTTAATATGTGAAGTTGAGTATATTGTAGGTATTGTAGCTGCATGTCAAACTGTTTAGCTTCTGAATCTACTACAGGATCTGAAAATCAAGGTAGAAAAGTCGTTGAAACTGATGATTGATAACAAGTCTGCAATTAATCTTGCCAAGAACCCAGTGTTGCATGGGAGAAGGAAGTATATTGAGACAAAGTATCATTTCTTGAGAAGTCAGGTCCAAAATGGAGTATTAGAAGTTATGCACTGTAGCACCCAGAAGCAGCTGACAGATGTTCTGACAAAGGCGATCAAGACGAATCAATTTCTCCATTTAAGGGAGGGAATTGGTGTTGTTAATTTTAATTAGGAAATTCTAAATTAATGGATGGTATTGAAGGGTAATTTAGTATTTTTAGTATGTTTCCTGTGTGGCCTTAATTTGTGTGTATAAATAGACTAGTTGTATTTGTCTTTTGATAATTCTAATATTTATTTACATCTTTGTAACCGTCATTGCAAAGCAATAAAATATATTCTCTCATTATTTATTCTTCATAACCTTGTGCACTAACAGATCTTGTGTAAAAAAAATATTAATCTTTAAATAGAACATGCCATCAAACCCTAGTTATCCTTATTGAAACTTCGAAGGGAACTAACTACTAGACGGTTTGATTAATCTTTCATCCATATATCTAAGTCGGTCGAACAATTTGCACGTTAATATAATTATGACCATCCACCATAATTTCCTATAGCTTAGCCCCACTCAAGCATAGATCACCATCTTTCAAATCCTAACATATATGCTCTCATTTAAACCCTTTAAAAAAAATTAGACCAATCATTGATGCAACCCACAAGTGGATTGATCCCACGAACCAACTCCCGATATTTTAGGATTTACTTATCCAATGACTTCCACACATGCTAGATTCCTTAATATGTGTTTCAAGACAGGTCAAACGGGAAGTTAACATGTTGACGCCACACAAGTGCTGAAGCACGTTGGATTAGCATGTGTTGTCGTCGACCAACGTGGTGATGGCGTCTCTGCGAGCAATTCTTAACACAGGTTTGGACCACCATCACAAATCGTTGACCTTCATTCGCTTCCATCCCGACATATCAAACATTCTTAAACTCTATTTTCAAAATCTTTTTTATTTTTAATTTAAGAGGTCATAAATTCATTCATTTTCTTTCAACAAAAATAATTAATTAATTAATTACTAGTGACATTGGCCATTTAAAAAAAAATAGCTTACTACTCCAAAATAATTAAAATAAGAATAGTTCCATGTTTTTTTCAAAAAAAAGATAAAATATAAATAATCAGATTTGAAAAAGAAATCCATTTCCATATCAAAAAATACAAATTTTTGTTTTTGAGGAAGAAAAAAATAAGAGAATGATAAGCATTGTATTAATAACTCTGATATATTAACGATATCAATCATTCATGCTATAAAGAGTCTCCGTTGAGAAGAAGAACAAGAGAACACTGAGAGCGAAGAGAGTGATCCACGCTGAACTGCAGAAATGGAGATTGGGTTTTTGGGTTTGGGGATAATGGGCAAAGCCATGTCAATCAACCTTCTAAAACATGGCTTCAAAGTCACTGTCTGGAACAGAACCCTCTCCAAGGTACAAAACCTACCTACTTTTTCTGCTTCTGCTATTCAACAATCATTGTTTCTTATTCTAATTCTAATTCCATGTCTTTTGGATCTAATTCTAGTGTGATGAAATTGTTGAACACGGGGCTTCAGTTGGAGAAACACCTGCTGCTGTTGTCAAGAAATGCAAGTATACAATTGCAATGTTGTCTGATCCTTCGGCAGCTTTGTCGGTCAGTCGCTGTCAAATTTGTCTTTGAAATGAAACCTATTTGTTTTTCTCATATGGAAATTGAAATTCCTTGTGTTGGATTTTTTAGGTTGTGTTTGATAAGGATGGTGTTCTTGAGCAAATTAAAGGCAAAGGTTATATTGACATGTCAACCGTTGATGCTGAGACATCTATCAAAATATCTGAGGTTGGTATTATACTATGTTGTTGCTGAGATTGTTTATTTAACTATAAACTAGAAACATGTGATTGCGGTCGTTATTTTGAATTTGGCCATTGAAAGTTTATGTTTTTATAGAATTTTAGTTTGTTGGGAAGTGTATAGTACCGGAGATTTATGTTTGGATGAGGAATACGTAAGTATGAAGTTAAGCAATCCTGATTTGGAAAGCGAGAATTAAAAGACTATGTACTACATTATCGATTATTTGTAGATTCTTGCTGTAGAATGTTTGGATATATGTTGATTTGTTCAAAAAGAAAGAAAAATAATTGTGTATATGTAGCTACTACTTTTCTTTGACTAAGTTCTGTATATATGAATGTATGAATCAAAGGTTCACTGTAGTAACTGTATTTTCTTAGCAATGCTATATAATCGACTTTTCAAATGGAAATGGAAATAAGACCTTACATATTAATTGCGACTGAAAAAATTTCTTTCTACAGGCAATCAAAGCAAAAGGCGGTGATTTCCTTGAAGCTCCTGTTTCAGGTAGCAAGAAGCCTGCAGAAGATGGCCAACTAGTAATACTTGCTGCTGGTCACAAGGTATTTTTAAATGGAAAAGATGTGGATTAATGTTATGTCGTCTTGCTTGCATCATGTTCGGTTGTGCTTTTAACTATTTGGGGAATAGATTTATTCAGAAGTTTTCTCTTTTATGTGATATGCTTGCTTGCATGGTTGGAAACTTTCAGAGTATAAGCATGCATAAGATACTTTAGTTTGCTAGAGAGAAATGAAACAAGTGATCTCACAATTCAAAATCAGCAAGACAATGTTTTTTTGTTGTTATTTTCTCATGCGCTGTATTTATGCAGTGATAGTAAGAGATATTTCAAAATTATCAGTTGTTCCCTTTTATATAATAGAGGTGTAGATGTTTGTTATCATGTTCCTGGAATTTCAAGTGTTATAAGCACTTGTCATTAAGCACACGTATAATAAACACTTGATTAACCTGTCTGTGGAAACTTCGGTAATATTTCCATTGAGATTGCACAGACAAGGGTTGTCTCTCATTAGGCTTTAAGTATCATATTGAGGGAAGTAATTACAAGAAACATGGGTTGAAATCCTGCAATTTAAGTTATGAAGTGAAGCTTAAAAAAATAGACTAAGCTGTCCATTGAAATTGGTTGCATAGTTATGGCATTGTGTTTTGTTAATACAGTTGCGTGAATGAGTACTCCATTCAGATTCCTTGTTATTAACCGCCCTGTTTTGAAGAAAATGAAGAACTTCAAGAATGCATTGTACCTTCCTACGTATCAAATTTAAGTGGTTGACTTATTTTATATATAGGCATTATATGAGGAAGCACTTCCAGCATTTGATGTAATCGGGAAAAAATCTTTCTTTCTTGGTGAGGTTGGAGATGGTGCAAAAATGAAACTTGTTGTCAACATGGTAATGGGAAGGTACTTTTCATCCCGTTTTTTCTCTTCTATCCTCCTTAATTTGAAAGTAGGAATGTGGATAAACAGCAAACAAGAAAAGTTTGGATAAACAGCATAATTAAGCACTTATTATATAATTGCTTGTATATAAGTTATTTCTAAAAAAAGATAAATCAAATCAAATTGTATTCATATAAGCTATAGGTTGTTTTTATAAGTTATTATGTAGAGCTTATGGAAATAAGCTGAAAATAGCTTATAGATATGTCATAAGTTGCTTCTATAAACTCTCGCAAACAATCTCATAAGTGCTTAGCCTAGTAGATAAGTTCATATTAGTCAATCCACCCTTTATTTATCCAAACAGATAAGCTCCTATTAGTCTGGTAGATAAGTTCATATTAGTCAATCCAAACAGACCCTTTATTCATCCAGATTGCAATTAGTATTCCTTATTTGGTTTCACGCCAGATTGCATGTACTTATTAATGTCTTGTTTTGTAAATTAGCTATTCTCTTCTATCTCTGTTACAGTATGATGAATGCTTTCTCTGAGGGACTAACGCTTGCTGAAAAAAGCGGCTTGAACCCTGGCACACTTCTTGATGTGCTGGTAAGTTATTGGGATGAGTGGAGGATTCTTGCTGATGCTTTTTATTAATATTCTAAGAATATCTGGTGTATTTCTTACACAGGATCTTGGTGCTATCAGTAACGGCATGTTTAAACTGAAAGGACCGTCAATGCTCAAGAAGAGTTATGCCCCGGCTTTCCCACTGAAACATCAGCAGAAGGACATGAGATTGGCTCTTGCACTTGGAGATGAAAATGCTGTACCTATGCCAGTCGCAGCTGCAGCAAATGAGGTAATACCATCCGTGTATGCGTGTCTATATATACTTGTGATGAAATGATTCGGGTTATCAAAATAAATCTGAAAAATAGTTGAACTTTTTTGGTTGGCATTATAGAAATTTTGCGAGGTGATAAAATTTGAACTTTGTTTGTAGGCATTCAAGAAAGCCAGAAGCTTGGGATTAGGAGACCTTGATTTTTCAGCTGTCCACGAGACTTTGAAATGAAGGCTCTTGATCATTCATCGTCAGCATGATTCTGAATTGATTGAACTACTGTTATGAGTAACAACAGCATGAAGTAAACCATATATATATGAATTGGCTGTTTGAACCTAGTTCATTACTATATTCTCTTATTTGAATGTATTTATGAACCTAGTACATTTTTGCATTATTAACCACAAAATGAAATTAAAATATGCTCGTGCGTGGGTTTAGTTCAACATGTTGCAACGGAATGTATTTTCCATTAGTTCACTGACAGAAATGGTTTACGCCGCCATGTAAATGGTATGAATAGGTTGGTGTTGTAACAATACCCAAATGCTGTTGCACAGGGGTAACTTGATTCATATACGAACACGAACACCGCACACAAGTAATTATGCACATGCACTACACGTTATTATTGACTAACCCACCAACTAAGCATATTTTAAACCTGACTTGTAAAATGCTGGCTACTATTGAAGTTTCTGCACAACAAAGTTACAATCAATCCTGAATGACTCCTTTAATTGAAAAATAAGGTTACAGTCTCAAGCTAAACAAACCGCAAATTTCCAAAAATTAAGCTTTGTTTAAAATATATAAAAAGTGATCTTAAATAATAACAATTCTCTATTTCACAACATTCTAATAATTATCTTTTTATTAATATTGATGTTAAATATTGATTTTACAAGTATCCAACTTCAATATTTAAAAGTATAATATGAAAAAATACAAAAAATAATCTTTAGGTAATAATTTATATTTCACACTTAATAAAAAATTTAAATGATGGTACATTTTTTAAATATGTTTTATTGGGAAGGTGTAAATATTGTCTAGGGAAAAATGAGAGAAAGAATATATTTAATGCAATTTACATTTAATTTTACATCTGAAAAAATGTATTTTGAGAAAAAGATAACTAAATGAAATTAAATGTAAGTTTTTTTTGCTTAAAAATTGTAACAAGAAGTGTGTTTTTTGTTTATAAACTACGGAGGGAGTATGTGTTTCATGTTTGAAAAGTTAAACATGATGAGTCTAGTGTTTTTCATTTAATAATCGATGAACATATACTTCAAAATAAAAAAGATAAACATACAAATTATGTTCTAGACTACTTCAAAATAGAAAATACATCAACAAAAGGAGTAATAAAAAAGGAACTTATACGCAATAGAAAATTAAGTTAAAACACATTAACCCAACTCAGTCATAAGATTAACCAGAAATAGGCCAAAATAAAAGTATCCAAAATTTTAACCTGAGAAACAAGTAATGCAGGCAACAAAAATTTCAAGAAAATGTTGATCTAAGTGCAAATTCTTAAAAAGTTCTAGATATCTGTCTCTTGGATGCATACAAATGCATTTCACTCATCATCCTCATCATCTTCATCAACTGCAGAGTTGAGATTTTCCAAGCGTTGGATCAACTTAGCTCTTCTCTCCTCGTAGGTAAGCTTTTTCAGATTGTATCTAAACAAAAGATAAACAACATTAGTTCAGGAATTCCCACTAGAGCTTGTAAAAATAAGAAATTACCAAATCAAATGTAAAACATAAATGAAAAGTAACAAACAACTCACCTCTTGTGCTGTGTTGGAGCCTTCTTCTCTGCTTTCTTAATGGTGGGGTCTGCACGGATGGCAGCATGAACCTTCTTGTACAGCTCCTCAAGTCCATCAGCCTCAATTCCTTTCTTAATATACTCGCTGAAATGAGTTTGGTATTTCTCAGGCTCATCTTCAGTCAAAGTCTGAGGAAAATATTAAATGTTAGACAATATTGAAAAACTGCCTATTACAAATAAATATAACACAAAGGTAGAGAAGAAATATTTATCCATGCCTTCATATAGGCAGCAACGTGTCCACCAAAGATATATTTGCGGTGAACCTCAGCATCAAGCTCCTTCTTTTCCTTGTCAAAACCAGCAAACCTTTTGTCACTGTGAGGAATATCCAAACCCCCATCCAGTGCTCCCTGTAAATCATCACAATTGTTAAACTCAACCATCAACAAAAACAGAAATATAACATGTATTGCAATATGATGTTGAGTACCTTCAGGGCACCAAAGACACGGTTTCCAGTTGTGGTCTTTACAAGACCAACATCAAGGAGAGCACGGAATGGCCTCCTGGAATCAGCAGGCTCCACAGAATAATCTTCTCCAGTAGCCTGTTAAGTTAAGTGATTAAACCAGTTAGATTACAAATAACAATATCAAAGTAAAACAGAGTACAAAATTCACCCACCTCAACATTTCCCTCATATTCTTCATCCATCTCAAGTGTTTTGAGAACACGACGGGCCAACAGGAGTCCAGTGCAATAAGCTGATCACAAATTAACACATGTTTAAATTACCATATGTTCATGTGTAATACAAAGTTTGAAAAAGAAAGACACAATATCATATGAAAAGGGCAGGACATAATCCTCATAAATAAAATACCTGCAGCATAATTGGTAAGACCTACTTCAAGACCATAATGTGGCAGCTCATGTGCATATGCAGCTGCAAGAACAATATCACCAGCGATACTAGCAGATACTATTTGCGCAACAATATCTTTGTTGGTCTAATTAGGGGGTTAAGGTCCTTACAATTACATGCTAACTATGAGAATAACCAATAACATGGCATCATAAGAGTGATTGATGGTTTTACAATTACAAAATATTAACGCTAAAGGCCCTATTGTATTCTAATCACATAAAACAATTCATTCATTTTAGCATGAAAAAACAACAATAGGGCAAATTGAATTCGAATGCATCAATAAAAATCATAACTAAAACCTTTCAAAAGGATACAAATCGCACAACAAACCGATACTTCGGAGTGTTGTACTTGTTCTTATCCTGATTAATCAACCGAATCCGAGCACGGTAATCGGTCTTACCCTCTGCAGATTCATCATACAACAACCAAACAACCCATCAGCATATAAAAATTGCAACTGATTAATCATAGAAAATAAAGCACACAAATTGTAAAAGGCGAAACAAACAACTATAAATACCTCTCCTTCTCTTAAACTTGACTTGGTATCTCTTGAAGTAAGCCTTTGACTTCTGAGACTTGACAAAAACCTAATTTTGCAATACACAAAAAATGTTAAAACGTGATCTCTTAAAATTATCTACCACAAGCACAAATACAGATAAAAACACATTTAAATTTCAAATCAGAATGAATTATTAGCAAATTTTCAAAAGAAAAAAACGAGAAACAGATTTAACGGATCGAAGGAATTAGCACTGTGATAGAAACGAAATGAAGATATACAAGCTGAATGAAAATGGGAAAATGAAGCGGCGAGGTATTACCATTGTTGCGGAAGGTGAGAAGGTCGATCCACAAGAGTGGTGCAAGAGTGATAACCAGAGCTAGGGTTAGAGAGAAAGGGTTTTTGTTTATAAAGCATTGATTTGAGTGGGTCGGGTTAAAATGAATTGGGCTTATGTGACTTGGGATTGGGCCATTTCGAATTAAAACTCAAAATTACATTCTTTTTCTTATTTCTTTTAACATGATAAGAATACTTTATGAAAAATATAGTTAAATGATATTAATTGTTATGCATTATGAGTGTAAGTTTTTTTACACAATCATTTATAGATGTTACTTTATAGATAATTAAAATAAAAATCAAATATCCGTAAAAACATAGGTATATTTAAGACACAGCTTAACGAGACTTGTTGGATAAAAATATTAAGTTTTAACTCTTTTCGAGACTCAGAAGGAGAAAAAAATTATGAAAATAGTTTATTACACATAGTATACTCGATTAGAAGACATTTGAAATTTAAATTTCAAATTTCGCTCCACACAATCGATTAACTCTAAGGTATAACTAATTAAGATCTTGATATGTGTGCACCCTCGTTAATCAAATCAACCTGACTTAAAGGCTCAAAGCACTATAATTCATTGTCTTATGTAATAGTTGATTATTTGAAGGCTATAAAATGTAAACTCCTCTTTATCTCATCTTTTGTCTTCTTCTTTTTCTTGCTTGTGTTTTCTCTTTATGTCTGTAAGTACTCTTGCAATCTTCATCATTATCACGGCTCCAAAGAGAATTTGCACATATTAAAGTTCTTCCTCTGAAGCATACTTCTCAAAGTTCTTTTCATCTTAAGAGAAAAAAGGATCGGTTTAACACAAATTATGCAAGAAGAATGATCATTCATTCCTGTCGCTTAAAAGAAAACATTTTTAAAGATTGTGAGTTCTTGAATTTTTTTATGAAGCTTTGTTAAAGAGTTTTCATTTGCGACATCCTTGGAGAGAAGTTTATGAACTCAGTGAGAATGTTTTATTCTAATATTCACTATGTTAGGGGATCCTTGCCAATGAAGTGATAAAGCAACAAGATGGTTCATCTCTTCAAGAGTTTACTCAGATATGTAACTCTCCTTGCATCAGTTCAAAGTACAAAGCTGACGAATATGCATATAATGGTTATTTTTATATTCATACTAATATCTCATTCTTAGCAAATTCAATATATAACATCTCTTATCCTTTCAAAGTGGGCACAATGCTCTTATATATTTGTCTCACTCGCTATGTTGTTACACATATTCTTGTCCCATTGAAATATAATGTTAGGAAAGTAAAAATTGATGTTGTTGTGGTTTGACTACTTGCTAATAAAGTAGAAACAAAATGAGTTAGTATTGTAATCCATCATATGATGGATAGCAAAAGAAATAATATGTGGTTACCATTAGGTGGGTTGATGACAAAAATATTGGAGCACATTGGATTTAAGCTTGAGGATGAAGAGTCATACCAAAATTACACTTGGATAGAAAGTAACAAAATAGGACACGTGAGAATAATCATCGCAAAATGGGTGTTAACCCACAAGACTTCATAGAAAAAAGAAAGCTCCTCAAGTCAACAGGTTCCACAAAGAGAACCTTCAATTTTTGTAGAGTTCAATAATGATATACCATAGACTACTCCTATAGAAGCTCTTATAAAAAATATCATCAAAAGGTAGAAGAAGACAAACAAAAAGACAAAACATTCAAGCTCGCACGGTCGCTCATAATGGATCTTAGTTGTCTGTTTATTTTTGTTATGTGTTTTGCTTTTTCCTATTGTATTTGATATTCCCTTTTTATAGATGAAGTGTTTTGATGTTTCACCTTCTTGTGCTTCCAGTATAATGAGTGCAATCACCTTGGCTTTCTTATTTCTCCAACTCCATTGGAGGTGAGTTGCCATCATAAAAAATATATAGATTTATGTGCTTCCAGTATAATGAGTGAAATTAGGTGTTAACCTATTTGGTTTTGATGATGACAACACTATGAGGTGAACTCTTTGTTTGGTGTGTGTTTGCTAGAAGCACGTGCAAACAAATCTAGTTATAGTGCTTGGAAATTCAGATGGCAAAGTCTATGTATGAAGGATAACACCTAACGTCAAGTGATCTTATTCAAGCAGTCCATTTGGAGACGCTATCTTTCATGGAGCCTTATCAAGCCTCGTTAGAAAGAAGAATTCAAATCCCAAATGAAATGTTGTATCATGGGTGTGTTAAAAAAGGATCTTGAATCTTCAAAGTTGTAAAAGAGATGCGGTACGAAAGTTCTCCTTGCATATGTTGAGTGATATGTGTCTGTAAGGGTATAAGATTAACTATTGAATCACAAAGGCAAATCACACACACACTTTAGAATGATTGGAAAACCTCTTTGATTTTATTAAAACTACCATAATTTTGTTTTCTACCTAGCTATTGGATTGAAGTCTCGTTCTAATCAATTAAAATGTTTTTTAAATGGCATGGTTGATTACCCCCATTGCGGTTATTCAGTTGTCATTTTTCTAATCATGATAATAGATTATTATGTCTTTTAACTGATTGGTGACAACGCCATTTAAAAACCTTCCATATTTAAATTGTATAATTGATTATATGATATGCATAATCAGTTACGAGCATTAAAAGTCTTGTAGATTCTTTCCATATTTAGCCACATTTTCTCCTATAAATAAAGGACTCATTTCTCGTTTTCATTCACATCAGAAAATGTATTTTGAATACTTCTCCTCACTCTCTCTATCTATCTCATTATAATTTTAACTAATAATATCACTAATTTAATAACGCTTTATGATAATGTGCTATTGATAATTTCAAACAAAGACCTATAGTAGCACTTATATCGAGGGCTATTATTGGTTAAACTCAATAATAACACTTTTTCCATAAAAACTATTATATGTTCTAATAAAAAAACAAAACATAAAATAATTTGTAGGTTTAATAGCGTTTTGTAAAACATGCTAATAAAAGTGATATGTGTAATATCGGAATTTTTTTTTATTAATAACCATGTATTAAAATAATATTTCGCAAATAACCGGGTTTCGGAAAAAATTACGCAAATAACCATGTTTGAGATGACTCCACAAAGGAGGAGCCATCTTGTGATCGGTGGATCTGGAACTGACTGTTTAAAGCTGGTTCGCGAAATGTCGCGGAAGCAAGAGTCGCCACCGTCTTTTATTTTCTCCAAATGGAAAGGACAAAAGCACAGAAAAATTCCTTATAGAGATTGCTCTCGGTTCGGGAGGTAGATTATAGAAAGGGAAGGTGTTAGCACCCTTTCTATCCATGGTTATCCATGGGCTCTTAGATACTTGCTCATTTGTGTTTTCAAAATTGTTTGTTTGCTTTTCAATGTGGGTTTTAAAAAAGTTTCTTTGAAAATTCCAGTTCGACTCTTGTGTCAGAGTGTTTGAAAAATTGCTTTGAAAGCTTTTGAAAAGTGTCGGTGTGAAAAGATTTTTGTTTGTTTTGAAATTAGAGCAAGTATCTAGAGTCGTCTACCTACCCTAAGGAATTCGTCTGTGTAAATGTCCTTTAAAGTAGTACCATCCCACCATTGAGAGGTAGGTAGCACCACCGTTGGAGGTGTTCGGGTCAATTCGAGGGTTCGGGACATGGTGATCACCAGAGCAATGGGAAGACACCTTAGAAGCTACCCTCATGCCAGGTTCCCGGATCATGAGGACTTACTAAGACATCCTCTACTCGACGATCACCTTTCGAAGGCAAGGCAACAGTGAGGCGTACCCTAGGGGTGGTGTGTGCGATTCGTGTGTCGTTTTCATTGGTATTTGTCTTGTCATGTCATTGGTGTTCTACGCTTGATTTTATTTAAGGCCATACATTCTTTCATGCTTTTTGTTAACAGTTTAAAAATATTTGCGGAAAAGTAAATCTAAAACTATTACAAATGGCGCGGGTCCACATCGCCAAAATTAAACCGGACCCGATTTGACGGAAAAGTAAACAATTAAAAGAATTAAAAAAGTGCGAGAAGTAAATGTTACAAAGCTTCGGGAGAGATACATAATTATTTAAGCGGAAAAAGAAATAAGTATGCGAAAATTAAACAATTAAAAGTATGGGCGTTGGACCCTTTCGCAAAAATTAAATTAATAAGGAATTAAAATTAAAATTAAAAGAAAATGTTTTTGGTATTTTTATGTTTTTTTTAGTATTTAATAGAAAAAGAATTAATTAAAACTAAAATAAAATGTTAAACCTAGTTCTAATTATTTTTTAAGTTATTAAGAAAAATGTTGAATTTTAACCTAATTTAAACCTTAATTTTTACATACAATTTTAATTATGAAAATAAATAAGATAAATAATATTATGGTGGAAAATAATTAAAAGGAATAAAAATTATCAATTAAACCTATTTCTATATTTTTTAGATTTTTTATTAAAAAGAATTAATATTGCAAACCCTAATTTAAACTAAATTTATTTACATGCATTTATTTATGAAAATATTAGAAATAAAAATTATTTATCACATTTTTGTCTTTTCTGATTTTTAGGCATTTTTTGTATTTTGTAAAAATAACTAATTAAATTAAAACAATAAAGAAAATAAAATAATAATTGAAAATAAAATAAAAAGAAAATTGCAAACCAGGGGGGTTCAGTCCCAAATTAGGAGGTTAAGTCCAAGCAATTCTGGCCCAATAGCATTCAGGTCCATTGACTTTTTTGAGTAGCGTGTTGTCACTTTGACCAGGGTTTATGGTACACTTTCAATCCACGCCCTTGATCTGATCTCAGCGTGCACGTGGATGATTGGATGATGAGGGAACATAATGCGTCTGCAGCCTTGAAGCATAGGTGAATGTGAATTGGAAAATAACATGGAAAATGTCAAGACCTGGGACTCGAACCCAGGTCATATGCCTTGCCAATGCTTTCTCTGACCAGCTGTGCCAACTAAACGCGTTTTATATATATTAAACAAACAAACATAATAAAGAAAAC